ACCCAAACCAGTCTGGGATTCTATGAAAACACACATCAGGATCAGGGAAAGGCACACCAGGAGTGAGTCCGAGCGGAAGCGGACGGCGCGTTCATCCCTTTGGGATCGTGAAAACACAGGAAAACAGCCACATCTCAGCAGTTGGGCTTTAATAATTCACTCTGCGACCCGTCACCGGACCGTGAGCGGCGCAGACGCTGATTTACACGCGAGCGAGGAGCGGGAGATGCACCCAGCCCTCCGCCAGCCCCCCCAGCATCCAAGTATTTCTCTGAAATGTTAAAAATGTTGCTTTTACCCTCAAAATCCTGGGTTCTGAGTACCTCACCCCGCACCTTCCCCCACCCAAGTGGGTTCTCAGGTGCAACGACCCCCTGTTCTTCCACCCACTGCCGCTTCCTTCGTTATCCAGCTCAATTAAACTCCCTCTTACTACAGCTCTGGGCTCAGCTTTAGGCTCCACTCACCCACGACTCAGCCTTTCCCCTGCTCGTGTCACCCCAGAGCCCACAGAAAGCCAGGGAGATGCTGAAGGAAAAGTGCCATGGATGTCCTGGAGCCATATCTGGACTAACAAACCCAAAGGAATCGTGGTTTTCCTGCTTTTCCCACCACAAAGACCCACCTGGAAGCAGGTGAAGCCTGAGATTTTTGTGTGTGGAGCTCAAAAAAAAAACCCCAAAGAACCACCAGGAAATTTTAAAAGCACACAGAGGGTCATTCCCTCCTTCCCAGGGATGGACTGAGGAAGATTCCACCCTCTGGATATAAATAATGAGCAGCTCTGAGCGTGTCCTGAAGTAAAACACTTTTTTAGAGCCAGGACAAGCCCGCTGTGATCTTCTGGTATCACAAAAAAAACGAGGCAAAGGGGTAAATTCAGTGAGGTGGCAGCGTCGGCGCAAAGGGAAAAGCAGGTGGGAAGAAGCAACATAAAGAATCACGGCACCAAGATGCTCCCTCCTGGATTTATCCCCCCAAAAAAGTCAGAAAGGGGGGACTAAAAGGGGGGGGGACTAAAAGGGGGGAGGTGGATGTGCAGGTCTCAGCTTCTTCACAGCAGCAGGGAAGAGCTGGGGCTGCCCGAGTCCCTGTTCTGTTCTGGGATGTGGAGAAATCCAGGTGGGAAGGGCTGGGAGTGATGCCACAGCTCTGCACGACTCGTTTCTTCCCCACTTGGGATCACAGGGAAGGTGTAGGCAAGAAAATCTTCTCCTTTGGGGAAATATCCTGCTGATTTCACCTCAAATCAGCCAAAAGCCCAGGGATTCACCCCAAGTTTGCCCAGCTGGGTACAGCTCATCTGCAGCCAAAGTCCTTTC